GGAGAACGTGAAGCCTGTCAGAATATTTAGTCAAGTGTACTCCCAAAGCTAAGAAAGAAAACGTGGAGGGGTAGAAGCATGACACACGATCGAATTGAGGATTATGTCAAATAAGATCAGCACGTATCCCGTTAATCGGTAATTAACTCATTATCCGCATCATTAAGAATTATCTTAATTTATTTAAAATATTATTCACTTTTAATATACTTTTGTATACTACAATCATGGTCATGTGATACCATATAAAATTAATACATACATTATAATTTCATTAAAACATCCATGTAAAAATACATATATTTTCTCAATATTCTAATTTTTCTAGTCTCATATAAAGAGTACAAATCTTTCGTATGCTTAATTTTTAAAATGGTAAAAAGATAACCTTCTTTTCTTGTGAGAAGATAATTTATATCTTTATAATAAAGAAATTCTTTTTGTACTATAAATTCTCAAAACGGAAAGAGGATAACTTTTCTTATGATAAAATACTATCTACTCTTATAATAAATAAAACCTCATTTATAAACTCTCACATGTCATGTATTTAATTTAAAACTTATCACAACCATATAAAATCGTATCTATCAACTTTTACTGGTTTACTTCAAAGAAATACATATCAAGCCAATATATAGTAGTTCCGAAATTCTTCAAACTTACAGGGTCTTACATTCATATTTTCATGTAACATCTTAATCCCTTTCAACTCATTTATTATTACTTCAACGAATCCTAACGTTAAAGTACGGGATGTAACAGAAATATTCTTAGCGTCTCTTGTTCCAGGCCTTCGATACTGTTATTCTTCTTTTTAAGGTTGCATCTAGTACCGAGAGACTGAGAGCGTAGTAGGGAGGGGTTTATTTTGAATAATGAGAGTTTGTAAGGAAACAAAAGAAACTCCTGTCTAGTGATTCTTGGGGAAAAAAAATATAAAATCCAGAAGGCAAAGTATTATTAACCATCGGTGAATGAATAATGAATTAGATAGTTGAATCTAGTAGTGCTACTATTTATAGGAACTCTAAGAACGCTAATCTAAAGCATTCTAGGCAGGGGCGGAGCTAGAAGCCTAAGTACGGGTTCGGACGAACCCAGTAACTTTTGTCCAAACTCTATACGTATTAAGAAATTTATTTAAAATATGTAAAAAATGAAATTCAGAACCTAGTTACTAACGCCTTATGTTGCTATCCTAGAATTTAGAATCCAAAAAGTTCAAATGCGGACTCCGCCTCTGACTCTAAGATCCCTCATTTTTTTTGATTAAAAGAAAATAAGAAATTCCTAAACCAACTCGGAATTATAATCACCTATGGATCAACAAACTAATAAACAAGTAAACAACAACAATTAGAAGTTGCATTCTAATAGACCTCTTAATACTTGGGAAACTAAGTAAATTTAATGTAGTGTAAGGTTCACTTCTCCATAGGCTGTCAGCTTGAATTCAGAATCTTTTTGGAATTTTCACCAACCTGCTTCCAATGAAAAAAAAAGACTTGCTTTTATTGAATGTAGGCTTCATTTTGCTGTACGTTTCAAATTCTTAGAGAAAGTTCCTCTCAAATGTTCTACAGTTTCTTAGCCACCAACTTGACACTTGTGGAACTTTTCATTTGTATCAGACTGCAATTTAATGCTACTAGGCATTAGCTGCCTTTTTCCTGGTCCTGCTTATGAGATATTGCACACTTTGAAATTGACTTGAGCATATATCTTCAAACAAAATAATGGAGCTAATGAATCTTAAGATTTGAGAATTTGCCTTGGTATATACCGTGTAATTTTACCGAGGCACCCCTAGTTCTGCCCCTCCCTACTTCCGCCCCTGAGTATCTCCCACACTATTTTCCTGCTGCAACTCTCAACATTACCGACCAACTTTGGTCGGTAACTGAAAATATATATATATTTTTAAAATAATTAAAATTAAACATTATCGACCAACTTTGATCGGTAACCTAAACAGTGCAGACAACATACCGACCAAAGTTGGTCGGTAAGGTTGAATTCTGGGAATTCATTGTTCATTAACCGGCCAACTTTGGTCGGTAATATGCAATTAAGTTTTTATTTATTAAAAACGACCAACTTTGGTCTGTAATATGCAATTAATTTTTTTTTTTAATTAAAATTTGACCAATTTTGTTCGGTTTTTCTGGGTTTAATTTTGGCATAAAATGCCTGTTTTAATAGCTACACCACCTGCCAGCATACCAATAACCCCAACAACTTAATCATAACAACAACAGCAGCAACAACAACAACAACAACAACGTCAACAACAATAACAACCAAACATTCAATAAATACTTTAAAACTAACAAATTATAGTTCAATTGAACATAACAATCCAAAACCAAGTTAAAACTAATTATAACAAGTTCAAAACTGATTCTATTTGTCTAGTTCAAAGTATATAAAAGTCAAGGTGTGTTTTCTATAACATCATCATCACCGTCTGATGAACTTTCATCTACAAGAAGGTATAGAGAACAGTCTTGTGGAGGACGGAAAGAACGATCACGGGGAGGACGGGAGGAACGATCTCGAGCAGGACGGGAGGAACGACCACGTGGAGGTCAACTCTCTGGCGATGACTTACGGGACCGAGTCAATGGAAAAGCTCCAGTAAATAGGAGAGTTCTGATCTGAGCTTGCATGCCAAGGAATTCATGAGCATCTCTAACCTTTTCTCTTTCCTTGGCCGCTTCTAGCTTGGATGCGAGCTTTTTCACTGTCTCCCGTATAGCTGAGAGGCTCTCCCTATTAAGTTGCTCACCTTGCGAGGAAGTCTCTATTCCTTGCATTCCACACTTATAGTGATGGAATTTTTTAGTCGGAAGCCTGTATACCTTCCCCCATTTTGGACCGCCAACAGACTCCAATCATATTCTTTCAGCATCCTCATTCGAAGGTTGGGTTGGCTCGCCCGATTCACCAGTTGGATGACTACGAATGAATTCCTCCACGTTACTTTGGTAGCGACCCTATATTATTTTAAATTAAATCAGTATTTCAAAATTCTTATAAAAGTAAATTATAATACTTAAAGAAAATTGAAAGCTTACGTATGCAGTCGAGGCCCGATCCTCGACCCACCTATCTTGATCCGTGTCTTTCTTCTTCTTTACAATATGCGTCTCCTTCAATAGCTCTTCATGGCTCATTGGATGCCCCAACTTCTTTTCCTAAAAACAAATTAATTTAGTTAATAAACAGAATAGATATACTTAAAAAAGTAAAATAATTTAAGCAATTACGTACCAATCTTCTTTTTATTGTCCCTAGGCTAATCGCTCCTCCAGTGTGCAAGGAGCCTCCCTTCTCGGATGGGCGGGATTTTTTTCCTTTTCGCTCTTCTCTAAGAACTCTGCGGTAAGCCATTGCCTTTGCAAATCATCCCATAAATTCTGAAGTAACCAGTCAGGCCTCTTGTTCTTCTTTCTAGCATAAGAGAAAACATCCACCAATCTCTTGCGAGCTTTATGTTGTAAAATAATTTTTTTCCAGTTTCCGTCCAAGCTGGACGGTTTTTGGTCGCTTTTTTTGGACCGACTAACTTTGGTCGGAAACTTTTGGTCGGTTTATAGCGGATTTCTAGTAGTGACTGTGGATTCCATCTATGATCCTAAAGTGGGGCTGCTTTTCGATCCCAAATCATTGATTCAAGCACTTTCTTATTAATCTGTTGATGGACACATGAGCCTTGGATGCTAGTATTTGAAGTTTCTCCATTTTTGCGCAACTTGCAAGGGTACGATTCAGCTCTGCAAGAATGAATCCCTATTACGAAGCCTGGTAATGTTGTTTTATTCATCCATCTATTGATTTTTCCGAATAATTTTTATGCTGATATGGTAGGATGTGAAGATAAACAGGCTCTTCCCAGACACTTGGTAGATGACAATTCAAGCAGTTCTGCGTTGATTTCAACTCCTTGAAGTCTGAAGGATGATGGTAAGGCTTGCATAGTTTCAGAAGTCGTAGAATGTGAAGTAGGAATTTCTTTGATTTTATTCAGCTCTTAATGGGAATAGGCATCGCTCGCAATTGAGCTGAAACACATGTTATATTTCAAATTTTATATGAATTTGGACTTGTACAGATTGGAATTGGTGCCAACCACAACTAGTTCGGGCTTGAGGCATAGCTGTTGTACATACTGAAATTTTGTGCATATCAAGGGCCTTATTTTAAATGAAGATGTTCACTCTTTATGAGTGGTTTCTTCTTCCCCGTTCTCCCTTCGGTATAATTTTGAGCATTTCCATATGAGACCAAGTGATATCCTTAATTTTGCAATCGTTAGAACTGAAAACCATTAAACTACTAAAATGCATGCCAGTCATGGAAATAACGATAAAAAGGTGACACTCTCTAGAAATATTTCTTGATTTGTTTACTCAAGAAAATAATGTAATCTCATAAAACAAAGACGGCATGCCAGTATTGAAATATTTTCTTTCCTGTTGCCTAAAGGGCAAACTGCTGTGATGGCCTCTCTCTTCTTTTTATTTTTTCTGGGTATTTATTCTTCTTTTGGTTCCTTTTCCTATCACATTTAAGGACAAAACAGAAGTGATTATTATTTACAAATAGGAAAGCATAGTGATCAAGTTCTCCATCCCTAAATCAGAAAACTTTGTCAATAAAGGATTTCTTTAGTGCCTATAGTTCCAAAATTATGTTCCAAAGCTAATATGGAACGAGAACTTGTCAGATAGTTGCAAATGAAAAGTTTATTGCAAGATATCGTCTGGGGACATCAAACAGCGTGCCTGATCCACCTTTATTTTCACAATCAATATCATACATAACTTGCCGGGCTTTCTGGGGAATTCAATCATCAAGGAAAAATTATAATATTTTGAGTTACCTTAATATAACCACAACGTTAGTACTATAAATACCAGTCACTCTAAGTATTTCATCCACAACATTCAAACAGAGACATGCTAGATTCAACAGAAAAATTCAGGTAGTGAAAAATGGCTTTGATATCCAATTGGAAGCTTGCTTTTGTAGCTCTACTAGTGTTAGGAATGTGGGCTTCTCAAACCACATCTCGTGACTTGAACGAAGCATCAATGGTCCAGAAACACGAGTACTGGATGGCTCGCTTTGGACGTGTGTACAGAGATGATGCAGAGAAGGCAAAGAGGTTAAAAATATTCAAGAACAACGTTGATTACATTGAGTCAGTCAACAAGGCAGGAATCAGGCCTTATAAGTTGGGCATCAACGAATTTGCAGATTTAACAAATGAGGAATTTAGAGCGACTCACAACGGATACAAAATGTCTTCTCATCAGAAGTCATCAAAAACCGTATCATTCAGGTATGAAAATGTGACTGCTCCCGCCACCATAGATTGGAGAACGAAGGGCGCTGTTACTGGTGTTAAGGACCAAGGGCAGTGTGGTAAGTCAAGTAATTTGGTCATGTAAATAATAACATTTTCTTTAATGTATATGCTGTTGCGGAAGCCAAATGTATATAGTGTGAATAAGTCACAACTACTATACCAAAAATTA